GGAAAACAAAGCCTTCTTCTGAGTTCCTAAAGATATGCATGAGCATTGTGGCTTGAGCTGCCTGTCTCCTGCTGCTAAGAAATGGTCATAATGTTTAACTGCATGAAATGTCTTTTTTTTCTAATCAAGAAGTTAAGGGATCTGCTGGCTTAGCAGGTGCCTCTATTGTGCATAATTGGTTGCTAGGAATTGTTTTGCATAGGCTGATTAGTCTCAGCCAAAGGAAATTTTTTTGTTTCTTCAGCATTGCCCCGAACACAGCAAGAGCTTCCAGAAACTGTAATCATATCCAGTTCCTTTGGTAAGCAGAGACCCTGGGAATGGCAGAGGTGGGAGATGGAGCGACAAGAAGCAGCCTGATTACACCTGGATGTTGTTTAATGCCAGGCAATCCCTGGAGGATAACAGAATAGGAAAGAACTTGAATCCCTTCCTCAATTAGGATTTTCCCATCTCCAACTTCAGCTTTGTTGGTGATACGTAGTGCAACCTTGCTCATAAGGTGCCTGCTGTTTGTTTTCCAAGTTGATAAACACCTGCTTCACTTAGAATATGTAATCAAAACAAATGATCTGTTTGGCACATGAAGAGACTGGCCAAATCGGGAGAATGAGACAGACAGATGGTCCCGCATTGTTCTTCTTTAAGTCTATGCTTGACTAAGTCCTTTCTATGCCTCTGTCACCACATCAGTTCTCACTGTTAATGGAAGGCATTTTCCCCAGCCTCATGGGACATCACTGTACAGGGACCCACATTCTTCCTTGTTATGATCAATAGGCAAGCCCCTAGCAGTGGGAGATCACCTTGTGACAGTGATTCGCCAGCTACTAAGGTTTCAGTAGAAAAGGCTGGCAGTTCTGACACCCTGAGATGCCCTTCATGACTATTTGCAGTACTTATTTCATTGAGCAGTAGCTCACCAGATGAATGCCAGCTTTGCCTCTATACTGACTTCCAGTAAAGATCCTTTGTAAAATCCTACACCATCAAAGTCAAGGCTGAGTCTGGTGTGAAGATCAAAATTCTTCTGTTTAAAGGAATTATTTTAAAGAATGTTTGATAAATCCTTCTATAGACTGAATGAAAAAGAAAGAAAATATGTTTTAATATCAGTGAATAAAAAGTCAGACTTTTAATTTACAGTGAGTCAGTGTGTTTAATAGCTTTTGGATGAGGACATGACTTTAACAGCATTAGACTATAAACCTTGGAAAAAGAAAAACAGAAATAAAAAGAGTAAAGTTTATATACTACAGGTTGGTTGTTTACAACAAATACTCTGGTTTGAGAAGTTACATACAATTCAGTCAACCATCAGCAAATATTTAATGAAGACTTAGTATGTGCCAGCTGCTGATATATATGTAGATATGCTTGTAGTCTACTTTCTGTTCCTCTTCTTATTTGATATATTTTTTATTCATTTATAAAACTGTATGGAACTTGAAAGTCTAGTTAATATCTCCCTGATGAAATAAAGTGTTAACATAGATCCTATATTTCAATCACCTTTAAGGCCCGTACTGGGGAACAATGAGTTGTATTGATATTTGTGTTAAATTTTTAGCTTCATAAAAGTGAACTGGAAAGGGGCTAGCATTTGGCATAGCTGTTTAAATGCCTACATTCCACATTGGAGTACCTGGAATCAACTCCTTGCTTTGACTTCCAGTTCCAGTTTCCTGCTAATTCAGGTTCTAGAGACAGTAGTGATTGCTCAAGTAAGTGGATTCTTGCCACTCACTTGAGAGACCTGGACTGAGTCCCTAGCTCCTGGCTCCAGTCTGACCCAGTCCTGGTCATTGCAGGCATTTGAGGAATTAAGTAGGGGATAGGGGTGTTCATTCGCTCTTTGTCTTTCAAATAAATAATTTTCCAATGAACTAAAAGTATAACTAAGTCCTATTGTACCATTTTAAGTGTTCTTCCATTACAAATATGTGGAGGAAGGAGAAAACGAGATTTGTAGACACACACAAAGATTTTCTGTGGTGACTCATTACATTCTCCATAGGGATTGACTGGCATGTATGGTGTGTATGGCTACTTATTTTTGTGATACAGAAACATGAGGACCAAATGACCTATGAAAGCTCATTGTCTGTCCAAGAAGTAATAAGATAAAGAGGAATGAGCTTTGATTGAAAAAGACCCAATTTAAATGTATATCCCTCTAAATATTTGCAACTGTGGGCTTTAGTCTCAACTGAATCAAAGAATCAAAATCAAAGAATAGTCTCAACTGTCCCTGATAGGCATGACATTCTTGGATATATCTACAAGTCTTCAGTAAGAGCCATATGAGAAGATCACAATAGAAACTTCCATAGCTCTTCACAACATTGTGCACTCTCTATATTCTTGTTGTTTAAGATGCTATTAGGGGGCCATCGATCACTGATTTATTCAATGTCTTGTCTTCATTTCTATTTTCAAAGTTTGAATCAACAGTTGCATTTTAGTAAATCACGTCAAGGGAGCTGATGTTCATTCCATTGGATGCTTTTTTATAAAAGTCCCACAGTGCCTCATATGTTTAAGCAAAGAGCAATTCTTGGAAACTAAGTTTCCTAAAAGGCAAGGGTTAAGTAGTATCATGCCACTTTGTTGCTATGATCTCCTTAACTCCTGTGATAAATATTGCCAAGCTTGTGCCTCCAGCTTCTGCCTCACCTCCATTATGAATTTTTGCTGATTGACTTTGGCAAGCTATTCTTAGATAATATTAAACTTCAGTCTGGTTATTTAACCAACAACTTTTGGCTTCCAGATAATTTGCCTATGATCATTAAGGACACTGTTGATGCTGGGACTGAGATTGGGGATGGGGAATAGGGTGATGTAGAGCTGGCCAGGTGGCCATCTATAATTCAGTTTCAACCTTTTAAGAATGTGCATGACTAGACTGGCTTGGCTTTAAATCAAGGAAATTGCTTTCAAATATAAATGAGAAAACCTTTTACCAGAGTTGACTACTTCTATAATGCAAGCTGGGTAAATTCCTAAAGAATTGGTTCCTTAAAAGAAAATTAAGTACAGATAACCTCAGAGTCTCCTGGGCAAATATCTCATTGCCCTTTAAGAAAATCCAACACTGGATTCAACTCAAAACTTTAATTGGCTGGACTCTTGACAAATCAAAAACTGAGGAAAGCATTTAGACTTCCAAGGTACTGTCCCTGAACCTGATTATTATGACCTTTATCACCTTGCTCAGTGCTCAGTACTCATAAATATACCAATTTTGGGATAATGAAACATAATTTTAAAGCAGTCTTGCAAATAATCTTAGTTGTTAACATAAAGTGAGTAGTTTTAATAGGAGATATATGAAGCATATTGCCTGATACTTAAATTAACTGTGATAAATGTTGTCAAGTCCTAAGGTGCAAATGAAGGGCAAAGGAGACTTTTGCAGAGTGTGCTTACATTTTGTTTCATAGTTATAGATTATATTCAAAATTGTATATGCAAAGAGAAGAGTCTAAGTCCTAAGGTACTGCCTCTAAAGCAACAAGGATGACATAATTGTATTAAAAACTGAAAGTTGATGGTTTTTCTTTATGGTTGGAAGTATATAAAGAATTGTGTGACAAATGGAACATAAGCATGGACAGTGTGATTTCTAATCTTTAATTTAATTGCAGTTTACAGCAGTGTTAATCTTCTCTCTTTGTCATTGTTCATTAAGACCTTCTAGGTTTTGAGAAGAAATTGCAAACCCTTTTAACTAGGTGTGCATAAGAAGAAAGAAGATCTTCAATATTGAAACACAGACCACTTAATTGGGAGAATTAATGTGTTCAGATGATAAAGCCTTGTTGCTGAATTAAATCCTTGTTATATTTAATACCTTGCCGGGCAATGTGGTTAATTTTAATACTTTAATGATTTCCTGTTAAGACAACAATGACCTTATATTGTGGCATGAAGTAACATTTGAGTCATCTAGCTTGACTGAATATATTGATAATCATTCTAAATTGTATTTACTCAGATCATATACATCTTATTCTTGATATTTTTAAGGTTGTTTCTCAGATATCTCTTGTACTTTATACAAACATCCCCATCTAAACTAGGAAGATTTTTTTTTTTTATATTTTAACCTTAATGATTCCCACCGTACGTTACTACTGTGTATTTCAAGTCAGATTAAATCCTTTTCTAGGTCAAAAAATACTTAGGATTTGATGGTCCACCATTTCTATGATCTTGACACCCAGTGTCATCAGTCATTCAGCTTCTTGCCTAATGCTCACAGCCACACTGAGCTGCCTACCTTCTGTCTTTTCAGTTGCTCTTTTTGTCCCTCTGCAAGTTATTTTCATCTCTTTCTAAGAGAGGACAAATCAGTTCATTTCAAGACACATCTTTTGCCAAGCCATCATTCCTTTGCTATTCTCAGCCTGGCTCTCTAGTCTTATTTATTTCTGAACATCCCTACACCTCTGCTTTACACTGGAGGGCAATTCACACATCCAGCAAGAAGCTACTAACTCTGTGTGTCTTTATTCTGCGATACTAATACTTCATCATCTGCTTATTGGAAATACTAATTTGTTTTCATTTCCTTTGTTCTTCTACCTGGTTGTTCTTAATACCCATTGAGCCATTTTATTCTGTCTTTGGTCTTTCTATAACATATATTCACTGATACTCATTTATCAATGAATATAGGAGACAAATAATTTATATTTTACATTTGCATACTTCCTAGCCATTTTATAAATGTCTTCACATGCTTACCAGCTTCTGATCCCAACAACCCAAAGAAGTAGGTGAGAATTTTATTCCTCTTCTATAGGAAATTGAAATAATATCCAAACATTTTCAAAGACTTGTCCCATACCTAACTCAAGGTTAGGATGAGGTCTACCAACTCTTTCTACTGTACCATATCACCTCTCGCTGGCAGAAGGATTGCAATCCATTAAAGATCTTCACGCACTAGAAACTGGATGGAAATTAACCAACCCTTCATTGTACCTTTGCAGATGAGAGTCCCTACACTAAATCCGCCAGCCAGACAAAGCCGCCTGATGGAGCATTGGCTGTGAGGAGACAGAGCATTCCAGGTTAGACCAGACTGTTGGATTTTTCAGCTGTTTTACTTTTGAATCCTGTTATTTGATGATCTGAAATAGTTCCAACTTGGTAATAAAAATCATGTTATTTCCTACAGTGTGGCCTGCATTCTACACCACTTGTTCAAACAATAATCACAAAAGCTAAACTTTAGAAAAACTTGCCAATGTATGTGAATTCATCTTGTAATCCAACGTTGTGGAATACTTTGTAAAATGACTTGAATTTATATCAACTGTCACTCATTTACTTCCTTTCACCTCTGTTTTCAGGGCGTGACTTTCACAGCAGCATCTATCTCTTTGCTTAGACAAACTTGTCAGAACAAAAGTGTTCAAAATTTCAGTAGCAGATCATGTATGCTGAATGAAAATTACTCCTTTCTTCTCATCTCTTTGAACTTGCATTTGCTTCCTATGAACTATTCTTGTAAATTTCCTGGACTTTTGTTTCCTTAGGAAGGTGTGATTTGGATTCTGGTAATACAATAAATAGTATCTATACTTTTTCAACAAGACATTTTGGAGAAATGTCTTAAAATGTCTGTACTCTAAAACTTCAATATTTACAAGCTTTGATCTTAAGAATGACACAAAAGCATGTAAGTTCTCAAATTAAAGGGGGAAGGAAATTCAAAACTTTATCTAAACTAGGTAACTCATGGAAAAACTCTTTGTAGAAGCAATTGTACATAAGAAAAGCATTAAAAACATTAATATATTTTTCAAAAATAATGTGCTTATAGATTTTAAACAAGCTATTTGTGTACAGCTAAAGCTTAACTATAGGATTTTAGAGTACAACAGTTTTAGCAATTCAGGAGAAATAAAGCAGTGTTCTGACATTAAGTTGAATGGTCTGGCAAATCTGTCAGTGAAAATGGGAATTTTCCATTTGAATAAAGAGCAGAATGAGTCCAACTTTAAAGCATTTCTTTTTGTGATTATTTATTTTTGTAAGAATGACATGGTTACTTTTATTCTGAAGGCTTAGATTCATTGTGAAAGTATACGACTTATAAACGATATATGTATCTTTGTTTTGGTGCCTTGAAGATGCTGCAGTCACTTGAATTCTGTAATTTGATGGCCTCACTTAGTGAGAAGATATGTTTTTTTTCCATCCTATACAAGGTCATTCTTAGTGTCGGTCACATTTAGAAAAACACCTGCAGTCAGCCATGGACTAGATTCTCTGCTTTCTCCTTGTCAGTATTAAGAAAATACCGAATGTTTGAAGTCAGGAATGTCAGTTATCCACCAATTCTCTCTTTGCTTCTCCACATTAGCTGGTACTCAGTTTCCTTTGTTGAAAAGAGACAAGAGACTTCCCTCTGCCTTACTACTTTCTGTGATTTTAGACAAACATACTGTTATTAATGTTTTCCTTTCATGGGCTTTGTAGTGTCACATCCTAAATCACAGCATGTGTTTGAGGTCTAGACTCTTTTTTGAAAGTCATTAAGTAGTATCTTTAAGTTATATCATAGGGACACAGAATCAGCTCATCATAATCCTTAGTTTGTGATACACAAGTGATTTGTTACAGTTTTTTTTTTTTTTCCTCTGTGTGTTTCAGACTTAAGTCACTGGAATCATGAATGCTTTTGTAGGTTGCACAGGTGGTTTTCCTAGAATTTGAGCAGAAACAAACCATTTCTTCGTCTTTCATAAGGTAGAGGCCAAAGGAGTCAGAGGTCTTCCGAATCTTAGTTCTTTAGTATAGTCCAAGAAAACAGGCTGCACCAGCCGGAGGGTTAAAATGCCAATGTTTAAAAGCTGATTGTTACTGTTATATGACGGGAAAAATTAATGAGTTTCTGGGAAACTGCTTCCTGACCAGCAACTTGGGAGTGTTTTGATTCTTTCCTTTTTTGCTTCAATGTACTCTGAATGCTTGTTCTGACAACGAAGAAGGTAGTGCTCCCAGACCTTTGGGCAGGAAGTCACTTCCAGAGAGATCTGTCCCAGCACTGGGAAGTCTTGTCTGGACAGCTGCCATGTCTACCTTTGTTCCTGTGCAGTGCACAAGTGAGCAGCAAATGCACAAAGGAGAAGGTCAAGTAAAGGCGTGCTCTATGTTATTTGCTGGAACTTCCACAGAGAAATCCTGCAACTGGCTTCTGGTTGACTAAGTTGTACCACATTGAACTGTGAGAGCTGGATGCAATTTTACAGCTTTGGTCTCTTTCTCCTATGCTCGTGTCCCAATACTACCTTGCTAAAGATATTATTACTGGGCCTGCACCGCAGCTCACTAGGCTAATCCTCCGCCTTGTGGTGCCGGCACACCGGGTTCTAGTCCCAGTCGGGGCGCCGGATTCTGTCCCGGTTGCCCCTCTTCCAGGCCAGCTCTCTGCTATGGCCCAGGAGTGCAGTGGAGGATGGCCCAAGTGCTTGGGCCCTGCACCCCATGGAAGACCAGGATAAGTACCTGGCTCCTGCCATCGGATCAGCGCAGTGCGCCAGCCGCGGCGGCCATTGGAGGGTGAACCAACAACGGCAAAGGAAGACCTTTCTCTCTGTCTCTCTCTCTCACTGTCCACTCTGCCTGTCAAAAAAAAAAAAAAGTTATTATTACTGTGTTGGTAGCAAGGAAAGATATATCGACAGAAAAGCACACCACACAAAAGAAAGCTTAAAGAGAGCTCTATTTCTTTACCAGCCCCTGAGCTTTCTTTTAAATTTTTATTTATTTGAGAAACAGAGAGAAAAAGACATACAGAGGAGCTCCCAACCACAGATTCACTCCCCAAATGCCCACAACAGACAGGGATGGGTCAAGCTGAAGCTGGGAGCCCAGAGCTCAATCCAGGTTTCCCATGTGAATGACAGGGACCCAGCAACATTAGCAATCACCCCTGCTTTTCAGGATCTGCATTGCTGGGATCAGGAACAGAGCCGGAACTTGAACCAAGGTACTCTGATGTGAGATGTGTGTGTCCTAGCCAGAGTCTTAATCGCTGACCAAATTCCCACCTCCCAGCCCCTGATCTCAGTGCAGAAGAACCTTCTGAGACAGATGTGTCCCCTGAAGTATTAACCACCACCCCACAACAGGGACTAAGCCAATGCAAGAAGGCTGAAACTTCAAAGGAGCTAGATGACATTCATCTGCATTTATCCTATAGCTCTATTCCCAAGGCTCCAATAGTAGTGACTGCAATTGACCATTTGTGTGAATAATTTCTTTGATGAATGGGTGGGGCATAGTGGAGGAAAAGGGTAATGGCAAGCTTCTCAATTCAAGTCTTATAACACTTTAACTCATTCTTTGAAACTGATTCTATAAATATAGATCTGGTGCTTCCTGGACCAAATGTCCATAAACAAAGGTGAGATTCTGAACATGGACTCCAGTATTTTCATAGCATAATTAACTATAACTTTTAACAATTCTGTCCTATAGAAGTAAGCTAGAATGTTAGCAGAAACATAACTTGCTTTTCATTCATTTCTAAATCAAACACTACTGTCTGAACTCAAAATTAATGCAGCAATTATTTTATAATCACAAGTAAAATATGTGTCTTTCATTAAATGCCAGTTCTAACTTTAAATCCTTTCATCCCCCACTTCTTTTTTCTTCCCAAAAAAGGGAATGGATTAAACATCTCTTAGGAGCAAAATACATTTGGTTTGGATAAAGGGGAAATGCATTATTAATGTTATTTGGGAGCTTGTCATTTTAATCATGTCTCTTATGGCATAAAATGTAAAAATAAAAAGACTTTTAGACTTTCATATGCTCTTGTAAATTTTTTAATGATGGTGATAGTAAAAAAAAAATGACATGAGTGTCCCTATGATACTAAAGTTGATGTTTAGAGACTTTACATTCTGTTAACAATATTAAGGAGATCTGTGTTCAATCTCATTTTGACCCATTTTTAAAGATAAGATAAATTCCAAGGGAAAAGATCTTTTGAATTAACAGATTCTGCCACATATATATATATATATATCTATTTTTAAAAAATCTGTTGATCTGATTGTCCTTTATTGGGCAGATTACTAGTGAATGCAGTTTGTCCCCTTGAAATGATTGTCTGAAGTATTAGAGGAAATTTGTATAGACTCTGGCCTGATAGACTTTTGTGATAATTTGTGACTTTGCTCACTTACAGCTGAGGCATTAAATCATAGCAGTCTAATGTTTGTGTAGAGGAAATATGGAATACTGGAGTTGGTATATTATTTCTTTGACTTGTCTCCTCTTTCCACACAGGATGTTTTTCTTTGCTTATGTTAGTCTTGACCAAGAATTCTGGCCAGGTGAAAAATATAGGAAGATGTGAGGACCTCATGTCTATTACATTTCCAACTTTGGTGTACTCAGGAAAATTATATCAAGACTGTATTCAGGATAAGGCCATGCGAGTTTGAGTAGGATTTTTCTCCCTCCTAGAATGTCAATTTGGTCGTAATGGACTGAAGTTGATATAAAAAATATGAAGCTGAGAGTCTGAAAATGTCCAGTAGCCCTAAGAATGAACAGTCAAGCTATTCAGAGTACATTCAGGAAGGTTCAGCCTCTATTGAAAAATAAAAGTCTGAGAAATAATTGTGTACCCTTGACACCATGGAGAGGCTGGCAAGCTTGAGTGAAGGGGAAAGGGCAGGAATTTTAAAGGTTCTTCCTCCTGTATTCAGCATTTTCTTGTCTTCATGATGCACACAATTTGATGCTTCATTGGTCTAAATTTTCATTATGACAGCAGATAGATAGTGTGACTTTTACACTAGGACTTTATAGCAATACTACTATTCAGATGTATGATGGGCATTTACTCTGATTTTCTGACCTGTTCTGCTTCCCCTGTTAAGTTCCATCACTGAGCCTCTCTAACAATGAGTGAGTCTCAGAGAAGGGAAATCAAAGTCGGTTGAACCCACCAAGTATGAAATGTCATACAAAGAACAGATACAAATGCATTCCAAAGTCGTTAGGTCAGACTCTGCTATTACTGAAGACATAATCACTGGGGCTA